GCTTATAGGCAATTGTTTGGATGTGAGTTGGGAGAGCTACCATTCTCATACTTGGGAATTCCTATCCACCATCGTAGGCTAACGAACAGAGAATGGAAGTGCATCGAGAACCGATTTGAGAAGAAACTGAGCTGCTGGAAGGGCAAGCTCATGTCATATGGAGGCCGATTAATCCTAATTAATTCGGTGCTCACAAGTATGCCGATGTTTCTTCTCTCGTTCTTTGAGGTACCAGTTGGTGTTAGGAAGAGACTGGACTTCCATAGATCGCGGTTCTTTTGGCAGGGTGATGAGCTTAAAAGAAAATATAGGCTTGCTAAGTAGGATATCATCTGTAGACCGAAAGACCAAGGGGGTCTAGGTATTGAGAATCTAGAAATTAAGAATAAATGCCTTCTTAGCAAGTGGTAGTGGAAGCTTTCGTCGGAAAATGATGCTATATGGGCTCAAATCCTTCGCGGCAAGTACCTCCAGTCAAAAACCTTGTCACAGGTCACAGTAAGGCCTACCGACTCGCCCTTCTGCAAGGGTCTCATGAAGGTCAAGCAGGCTTTGTTTAATAGAACAAAGTTTGTTGTTGGAAACGGCACGAGTACATGTTTCTGGGAAGATACTTGGCTCGGTGACACACCCTTAGCCATCCAATATCCCTCTTTGTACCGCATTGTTCAATGACGTGAGGTGTCCGTTGCATTGGTCTTTCAATCTATCCCCCTTAATATACAGTTCAGACGAGTGCTAGCGGGCAATCGTTGGGAAGAATGGCTCCGTCTGGTTAGGAGACTGATGGAAGTGCAGCTTTCTCAACAACCCGATGAATTACGCTGGAAGTTGACTAAGTCTGGAGTATTCACGGTTAAATCAATGTATATTGATGTAATTAATTTGAACTCCATTCCTACGTCCAAACATGTGTGGGATGTCAAAGTTCCTTTGAAAATAAAAGTGTTTATGTGGTTTGTCCATAAACAAGTAATTTTAACTAAGGATAACTTGATGAAGCGTAATTGGACAGGACCTACTAGGTGTAGTTTCTGCGATCGGGATGAGACTATTAAACACCTATTTTTTGATTGCCCGCTGGCCAAGGTACTTTGGCAGACGGTCCACATTGCTTTCAATATCAAACCCCCGACTTCTGTTTATGCGTTCTTTGGGACATGGCTTAATGGGTTTGAGTCTAACGTAGCGAGACATATTCGGGTTGGGACTTGTGCTTTGTTGTGGACTATCTGGAATTGCAAAAATGATTTGGTCTTTAACAGAATATCATGTATACAATTTTTGCAGGTTTTATTCCGGACTACGGCACTGATTCGTTCGTGGTCGCCACTCACCCAGACGGAGGCCAGGGAGCATTTGGTTACTGGGTCTGTCCGCTGGGAGATGGTAGCTAGGGATATCTTCAACCGGTTTGGATGGCGGTCATGTAATAGGATAGGCATTTAGTGTTCCTATCTACTTTACCCAGCCGGTTGTGGCATCTTGATTTGGCTAGTTGCTGTTTCTAGCCTTTTTTGGCTCTGTGTGAGCTTTTTCTACTTTTCTACGACCATTGGAACCATGTTGGCACTACTTCATTTTTTAATAAGAGGGTCGTATGCATCGTGCTGATGCAGAGGCCGGGGTTTTTCCCCCTTTTCGGAAAAAAATATGTCCTGGCAAGATAGATGGCAAAGTAGCTCAAGTTTGCATGCCAATGAGATTTATCCGAGACATTTACATCACTAGGAAGACGATGCGTCCATTCAAATTGGGTATCGCTTTCTACATGGCATTCGGTGTAACCTGCCAAATCTCTCCCAGGCATAAATAATTGTTTTTTTAAGTACGGCACCAAATCACCCATGACATGTTCTTGAAGTTGATTTATACGACAAATTATTCATAACACGAGTGTTAGATTTTGTATTTTGAAAAGATGATAATGAATGTGAGAGAAGAGAGAATGCGTACGATCCATGAACATGATGTGCAACAAGAGATGGTATGACTTCTTCAAAGAACCATCTCGATCCTTCTTTTCTCTTCATATATGCCCAACCTTTGAGATTGTGGTGCCGAAGGTCGCCGGCGCTAGAGATTGGCACGGTTTAGAGGGTTGGACGGCGGCGGAGGCGACGACTCAGGTAGGATGCGATGAGGTAGTGCGTCACAACACTTGCTGTTAGTGGATGCCGGTGGCGAGAGGTTCCGTAGGTAGAGGTGGGCGGGTCAATAGAGTGGACAAAGAAAAAGATAGGCGGAGGGAGGAACAAGAATAGTAGTCGCAACAGGTGGTGTTGGCGGTGGAGGAAAGACAAAGGGTTAACGGTCTCAAATGCGGGGTGTGGGAGGTCGTGGGCACCAAATATGGTGGTAGGTTTTAGAGGGATGGCTGGCGTCGACGGAGGTGGTGACTCAAGCATGGGGCGACGTGCGGCAGCACTCGCTGGCTGTAGGGTGGTAGGTGGTTAGGCAGGGAGAGGTGGGCGGGTTGACAGAGTGGTCGAATAAAAACGCAGTGGCGATAGGAGGAAGAAGATGAACCAGAGGTGGGTTGTCGCTGGCTGAGATGGGGCGGGGAATAACGGATTTGAAGGCGGGGTGCGAAACATCTCAGATGGCGGAGGTTGCAGTGTTTAGAGGGATGTCTGACACAACATGTTACAACATTTCGTTTGCACAATCCATCCCGAGCAATTACAGAAATAGAAGAAATTGGTGGAACTATGTTAGGAAGATCTATTTGGGTGGAGAGATGAGGAAGAATGTAGTTCGTGACGGTCACTTTCATTGTTTATGTATTGTCGGGATAGAAAAAACGTTTCGCTCTCGTGCCGCTCCGTGGTGGCACCAGGGCATCAAACCCTAGCCGCCAGAGGAGGGCGTGTTTCGTGCCTGCCCAGCCGCCGCTGCCGCCGGCGTTGGCCGCGGTGGCGGCGGGCTCCTGCCTCAAAGGGGAGGGGCACCCGTGCGTCGTCCTGGCGGCAGTGGTGGGACTCGGGGCGGTGGCCTCGGACACGGTCATGAAGGCGCTCTGTCTAGCGCGACTGTGAGCGGCGGCACTCCACTTCGGCTGTGCGGGCAGCGACGGGGACGCCGGCTAATGGGTGTCCTGCTGGCTTGCGGTGGCTTCAGGTGCATCTTGGCGTTGAGCTTTGACGAGATCTAGCAGCCTCGAATCCAGCATGGACGACCTGACGGAGGGCACACAGCAGGCTTTCTGTCCGTGCGTGATGGTGGGAGCGCCCTGAACTAGGCACCTTGCGGCTGCTAGTCTAATGGCCTCCTTCCGGTGGGCTTGGCCCCGGGGTGGGGTTGCGGTGAGCACATGCATTGGCGTTTGGCCGTGTGACCTGCGTCGGCTGTGATGAGGTGCTGTTGCGGATTGTCTCGAGGCTTTGTGCTGGATCGAGTGTTGCTCGACTTCTAGATCGAGGGGATTCACATCGTGCAGCCTTGCAGGTGGTTGTGCAATCCTGATCTGGCGGTGATTGGGCTCCACGAGTGCGCATCGGCGAAGGTGATCTGTCTTTTGTGCTCTAGTTCGGGAAATGTCGGCTTGGGTCTGTGCAAACCTGAGGGATGACGAGCCATAGTAGAGCTCTCTCCGGCGAGCTGGTAGTCGGTGGCGGTGTGCTCTGTCATCGATGTTGGTTCTTATTGACCAACCCGCCTGCGGGGCGGTCTTGCCGCGGATTGCAGTGGCCATCGAAAGGTTTTGATGAGGGTTTCTCTCTCCAAGATCCGGTGGTTGACTTCGCCGATGAGATGCAATCTATGAATGGTGGCTTGATGCACAGGAATGGTTGTGCAGCGGTAGCGGTGCATGTAGTTGCTGGGATCGTGGAAAAGTGATGGGGACAACACACGTCTTACTTTGATGGTGTTGCTATTTGAGCAACCGGTCTCGAGCTCCGGGGTGAAAGCCTAGGTCTCCCCAAGTTGGCTATACCTGGCAATGGCGATGTTTCTACGTCGTTACCTTGTTGAAGGCATTGCTCGGATATGCTCAGACTGTTCTTCAGGGTGAAAACCTCGATTCTAACCATGGATGGTGGATCCGGTGACGACGGCGCTTAAGCGTCACTCCCTTCCTGAAGGCGTTGCTGTTGAAGAACATCGTTGTCTGTGTGATGTCAAAAACAGTTCGTGCGGATATGGTCATTGTTGTAGCTTGCCAATTGCAGATCAGATCGCTTTGGGTATTTCTTTTTTCCTTGCCTGCGCATAGCTTTGGTCTTAAATGACTTTGCTATTGCCGGCGTGTTTTTGTGTGCGTGTGTTGGTGCTGGCTGTGTGCATCCTAGTTATGCAGAGGCCGGGTGTGTGCTCATTGTGTTTGTATCTCCTTGATGCTTCATTTTGAGACAATAAAATTCACCCTTTGTCAAAAAAATGTATTGTCGGGACAGGAAGACTCAGAGTGAGGGGTGCGTGGGTGAGAGAGTGAGAGGTGTGGTTGCGGTGAGATAGTGGCTGAGGTCAAGATAAGGCTGGGCACGTAAGCTAAAAAAATTGGATACACAACATTTCTGGTATTGTGTGAGAATTTCATAAGTGCATCAAGTAGATGTTAATTTGTAACATATGTTTAGTTGGATAATCGTGGTATATTTATACATCATCAAATTACCTTTTTAATGATTTTCAATTTATGTTGCAAGTGAAGTGGACTTCAATTATTATCCGATGCAGACACAAGTGGTGTGTTTTGAAATCATACTCTATTCTCTCTCATTTGCCTTTTGTGTCTTATCCAATGAAGACACAAACAGGGCTCAACAGAAAATCAAGCGCATAGCCATTTGTTTGTGACCAATCGAACAACACAACCTTACGAAATTTGTTAAATAGAAATTTAATATTCAACATTCCACAATACTACACAGAACAGGTAGCTCGTGAATCCACTGTTCATCATTGCACAACGCGGTAACAAAGAAACTCAGTGTTCATCATCGCACATTATTACACAACATACTGGTAAAAAACAAAGTTTTGTGCTCAACTGCTCATCAGACATCGGATGCATCCATCCATGACATTATAAGATTTCTCCCACAACGCAGCCACAACCAAGATATGAAGCATGTGAGAAGGCAGATATACAACAGGCATGAAGCCTTAGGGATTACCCGGAGCAATATTCTTCCCGCCCCATTGTCATCATCAAGCAAGTACTGCTTCCAGTGTAAAGATTGGGTTTCTATAGTTCCCGTTCTCATCTGGCGGCCTGGTGTTTAACAGGTCAGTATAAGAGTTCTTGATACATAAGGAAGCTATATATAGATTAAAGTAACTGTTTGCAATACACAAAAAGATATGATCATGAGAGGAGAAGGAGAGTGACTTGATTTACCTTCAAAACATACACTCCGAACGTGCTTAATCTTATGCCAGTTAGAATCTCCAGATGTTTGGCATGACCTCATGAATGCTTCGTCGCAGCCCCAGAATTCAATCCTTTTCAGCGACTGTGGTAGTACTGGAAGTGATTGAATTTCCAAGCAATACTGGATACGCAGTGCGACGAGTGATTTGAGCTGCTCTATGTTATTCGGCAAGGTGTCCCAGTTGCATCCTGTGAGGATGAGCTCACGCAGGTTAACAAAATACTCCACAAGTTCAGGAGCAGGTCCCAACCGGCTGCAACGGTTGAGCCAAAGACTCTCCAGACAGTTTTCGCCCTTCGTATTACCCACACTCCAGTCTGGAGCCCTCAAACCCTTGTAATCCCTGATCTCGAGGAATTTAAGGAAACTAGGAGGGCAAAGACCCTCAAGAACATCTGCTTGAAGTTGAACCTCTAGATTGGAGCTACTATCATTATTGCCCCAGTCCAGTAAGACAACTTTAAGCTGCTCCTTATCTGATAACCTAGCTTCAAGAGCTTCTTCCTTGCTTCCAACAAGTTCAAGACCCTCCAATACCAGATTTCTTTTAAGCTTGTTTAGATACTTCAGCTGCCGTAACTCGTAACCATGTTCCTTCATTACTCTGAATAATCCTAACTCTTGCAGACAAGTCATCCTACCTATGTTGGGAATAACGGGAACAGGTCTAAGGATCCGCATATTGGTGAGATTAGCCATATCTTCTTTAGATGAAAGTACCAAATTCTTGCATCCAGGAAAACTTAATACCTCCAGATGGTAAAGCTTCGCAATTGTGGCTGGCAAGGTTAAGGTGGCCAACCCCCCACGATTGAAGAAAGAAATGTAGCGCAGGTGCTCTAAATTACCAAAAGAGTCTGGCAACGAAAACTTGTGGCTGGCGTCCATATCTGATCGCATGTCCAGTACTCGTAACTTACTTAACTTGGTAAAAACCTTCTCAATAATCTCCTTACTTATGATAGTGTTATTATTCTGAACGGCATGAATGATCAGCGTGCGTAGATTTTCTAGTTTGACAATCTTGTCAATAATAGCCCATCCATTAGCTGTTTCAACATATAAATGGCGAACATCCTGAGGAACTTCTCCAGTCCAACCATTCTCAATTCTGAAGCAATCACTTCCAGCAACCTTCTCTGCTAAATCATGCAACAGATCATGAACGATATAGCAGTCCTCTTCATAGGGTTCCTCCTTTACTCTAAGTTGCAGAAATGAGGCTGACACTAGTTCATCAAAGTATTTTTGGCAGACATCTTCCGTATCATCCCCATTAGTAACTGTAACAAACCCTTCGGCAGCCCACATTTTAACCAACACATCACGTGCCAAGCGATGTCTTCGAGGAAAAACACTGCAGTAAGCAAAGCATCGCTTCAGATGCTCATCGAGATATTGGTAGCTCAACACTAGAGCTCCCATGGTATCCTTCAAGAGATCGCTATCTCGAATCCTCCTCCAGCACTCAACATTTTGTCTTCTGCGTAGCTGTCCACCCACTGTTCTAGCTGCTAGAGGTGATCTCCTCAACTTGTGTACTATTTCACTCCCAATTATGTGAAGTTCTTTCTGATCTATGTCATCTAACCTTGAATCACCAAGTGCATAGTACATTAAAACTTCAAAGAAGTCTTTTTCATCCAAGTCTTGTATTGGGATGGTAGTATATCTATTAAGACCTAGAGCTGGCACTGCATCTGCATTTCGACTTGTCACTAGGACCTTACTTCCTCTGCTTCCGACATTGAACGGAGAAAGCAACAGTGGCAACTGCTGGTCAGCCACATCATTATCGGACCAGATGTCATCAAGAACCAACAGAAACCGTTTTCCGTGTAGCTTTTTTTCCAATTCTTTTTTTATACCATCAACACTATTAGAATAGAGGTGTTGATTACCTGAAGCTATCACAAACATCTCTCTGTAAATTGTTTCCACACTGAAATTCTGAGAAACATGGATCCACATAACAAGATTGAAATAGCCTGCAGTGCGCTCAGACACACAAACATACTGTGCGAGGGTTGTCTTTCCAGACCCTGGAATACCACAAATGCCTATCACAGAAAAACATTTGCCCTCACTTGAGATTGCTTTGGCCTCCTTGCCATGTGTATCGTGAAGCATTTTTATTATCCGCAAACGATCTGCATCTCTGCCAGTAACCTTTTCCACTGGATCTGCAATAGTGGGCTTCTGTGCATATGTTGCCATAACATTTCGTCCATAAATTCTGCTTTCTTTCTGGCATGGCAGGTTTGCTTGTTTAATAGTTTCCTGTGCTTTATCAATGAGTTCTTTTATCTTCTTCATATTTTTCTTTAAAGTACTGTTTAAAGGCTGGGAAATAATCAAACTTGAATTGATATGGACACCCTGAAAAATAACAGTGGCTGAAATTAGAAACAGGAACTATCTAGTCCAGGTGAAAATGGTTTAAACGTTAAGTATCCAGATTCAAATTTCCATTTGTCTTATTTCATTACAAAATTTTGTAACTAGATCTTCAAGTTGTGCCAATATTCCCATTTTTTAAATGCACAAATTCTAGAAATAATGAAATAATTTGGTTGTACAACATGTCTACTTATAATAAATGCAAATAAAATTATGTACTTTTGCAGTCACTAAAAATTATATATGTACTTGTTGTGTGAACGAAAATAAATTTTCTCTTCTCTTCTGCTCAACATCAAAATATACAGTTTATGTGTATGTGTGACTGTGTTAAGGGATAGCTGCATGCTGCGTATGTGTAGCCGTTTAGTGGCATTTTTCAACAAAGGGTGGATTTTATTGGGCTCTTTAGTGGCATAAAGGCAGGTCAGTAGGTAATCGGGGAAGGAGAGAATGCTTTGTGCTAGCTTGCATGTATATCTCAGGAGCAAGTCATCAAGTAGTTCTTTGCCTGGCATGAGTTGCTGTCTAGTCATTGTATTGAGATTTGAGCTGCTCTATGTTATTCGGCAAGGTGTCCCAGTTGCATCCTGTGAGGATGAGCTCACGCAGGTTAACAAAATACTCCACAAGTTCAGGAGCAGGTCCCAACCGGCTGCAACGGTTGAGCCAAAGACTCTCCAGACAGTTTTCGCCCTTCGTATTACCCACACTCCAGTCTGGAGCCCTCAAACCCTTGTAATCCCTGATCTCGAGGAATTTAAGGAAACTAGGAGGGCAAAGACCCTCAAGAACATTTGCTTGAAGTTGAACCTCTAGATTGGAGCTACTATCATTATTGCCCCAGTCCAGTAAGACAACTTTAAGCTGCTCCTTATCTGATAACCTAGCTTCAAGAGCTTCTTCCTTGCTTCCAACAAGTTCAAGACCCTCCAATACCAGATTTCTTTTAAGCTTGTTTAGATACTTCAGCTGCCGTAACTCGTAACCATGTTCCTTCATTACTCTGAATAATCCTAACTCTTGCAGACAAGTCATCCTACCTATGTTGGGAATAACGGGAACAGGTCTAAGGATCCGCATATTGGTGAGATTAGCCATATCTTCTTTAGATGAAAGTACCAAATTCTTGCATCCAGGAAAACTTAATACCTCCAGATGGTAAAGCTTCGCAATTGTGGCTGGCAAGGTTAAGGTGGCCAACCCCCCACGATTGAAGAAAGAAATGTAGCGCAGGTGCTCTAAATTACCAAAAGAGTCTGGCAACGAAAACTTGTGGCTGGCGTCCATATCTGATCGCATGTCCAGTACTCGTAACTTACTTAACTTGGTAAAAACCTTCTCAATAATCTCCTTACTTATGATAGTGTTATTATTCTGAACGGCATGAATGATCAGCGTGCGTAGATTTTCTAGTTTGACAATCTTGTCAATAATAGCCCATCCATTAGCTGTTTCAACATATAAATGGCGAACATCCTGAGGAACTTCTCCAGTCCAACCATTCTCAATTCTGAAGCAATCACTTCCAGCAACCTTCTCTGCTAAATCATGCAACAGATCATGAACGATATAGCAGTCCTCTTCATAGGGTTCCTCCTTTACTCTAAGTTGCAGAAATGAGGCTGACACTAGTTCATCAAAGTATTTTTGGCAGACATCTTCCGTATCATCCCCATTAGTAACTGTAACAAACCCTTCGGCAGCCCACATTTTAACCAACACATCACGTGCCAAGCGATGTCTTCGAGGAAAAACACTGCAGTAAGCAAAGCATCGCTTCAGATGCTCATCGAGATATTGGTAGCTCAACACTAGAGCTCCCATGGTATCCTTCAAGAGATCGCTATCTCGAATCCTCCTCCAGCACTCAACATTTTGTCTTCTGCGTAGCTGTCCACCCACTGTTCTAGCTGCTAGAGGTGATCTCCTCAACTTGTGTACTATTTCACTCCCAATTATGTGAAGTTCTTTCTGATCTATGTCATCTAACCTTGAATCACCAAGTGCATAGTACATTAAAACTTCAAAGAAGTCTTTTTCATCCAAGTCTTGTATTGGGATGGTAGTATATCTATTAAGACCTAGAGCTGGCACTGCATCTGCATTTCGACTTGTCACTAGGACCTTACTTCCTCTGCTTCCGACATTGAACGGAGAAAGCAACAGTGGCAACTGCTGGTCAGCCACATCATTATCGGACCAGATGTCATCAAGAACCAACAGAAACCGTTTTCCGTGTAGCTTTTTTTCCAATTCTTTTTTTATACCATCAACACTATTAGAATAGAGGTGTTGATTACCTGAAGCTATCACAAACATCTCTCTGTAAATTGTTTCCACACTGAAATTCTGAGAAACATGGATCCACATAACAAGATTGAAATAGCCTGCAGTGCGCTCAGACACACAAACATACTGTGCGAGGGTTGTCTTTCCAGACCCTGGAATACCACAAATGCCTATCACAGAAAAACATTTGCCCTCACTTGAGATTGCTTTGGCCTCCTTGCCATGTGTATCGTGAAGCATTTTTATTATCCGCAAACGATCTGCATCTCTGCCAGTAACCTTTTCCACTGGATCTGCAATAGTGGGCTTCTGTGCATATGTTGCCATAACATTTCGTCCATAAATTCTGCTTTCTTTCTGGCATGGCAGGTTTGCTTGTTTAATAGTTTCCTGTGCTTTATCAATGAGTTCTTTTATCTTCTTCATATTTTTCTTTAAAGTACTGTTTAAAGGCTGGGAAATAATCAAACTTGAATTGATATGGACACCCTGAAAAATAACAGTGGCTGAAATTAGAAACAGGAACTATCTAGTCCAGGTGAAAATGGTTTAAACGTTAAGTATCCAGATTCAAATTTCCATTTGTCTTATTTCATTACAAAATTTTGTAACTAGATCTTCAAGTTGTGCCAATATTCCCATTTTTTAAATGCACAAATTCTAGAAATAATGAAATAATTTGGTTGTACAACATGTCTACTTATAATAAATGCAAATAAAATTATGTACTTTTGCAGTCACTAAAAATTATATATGTACTTGTTGTGTGAACGAAAATAAATTTTCTCTTCTCTTCTGCTCAACATCAAAATATACAGTTTATGTGTATGTGTGACTGTGTTAAGGGATAGCTGCATGCTGCGTATGTGTAGCCGTTTAGTGGCATTTTTCAACAAAGGGTGGATTTTATTGGGCTCTTTAGTGGCATAAAGGCAGGTCAGTAGGTAATCGGGGAAGGAGAGAATGCTTTGTGCTAGCTTGCATGTATATCTCAGGAGCAAGTCATCAAGTAGTTCTTTGCCTGGCATGAGTTGCTGTCTAGTCATTGTATTGAGATTTGAGCTACTCTATGTTATTCGGCAAGGTGTCCCAGTTGCATCCTGTGAGGATGAGCTCACGCAGGTTAACAAAATACTCCACAAGTTCAGGAGCAGGTCCCAACCGGCTGCAACGGTTGAGCCAAAGACTCTCCAGACAGTTTTCGCCCTTCGTATTACCCACACTCCAGTCTGGAGCCCTCAAACCCTTGTAATCCCTGATCTCGAGGAATTTAAGGAAACTAGGAGGGCAAAGACCCTCAAGAACATCTGCTTGAAGTTGAACCTCTAGATTGGAGCTACTATCATTATTGCCCCAGTCCAGTAAGACAACTTTAAGCTGCTCCTTATCTGATAACCTAGCTTCAAGAGCTTCTTCCTTGCTTCCAACAAGTTCAAGACCCTCCAATACCAGATTTCTTTTAAGCTTGTTTAGATACTTCAGCTGCCGTAACTCGTAACCATGTTCCTTCATTACTCTGAATAATCCTAACTCTTGCAGACAAGTCATCCTACCTATGTTGGGAATAACGGGAACAGGTCTAAGGATCCGCATATTGGTGAGATTAGCCATATCTTCTTTAGATGAAAGTACCAAATTCTTGCATCCAGGAAAACTTAATACCTCCAGATGGTAAAGCTTCGCAATTGTGGCTGGCAAGGTTAAGGTGGCCAACCCCCCACGATTGAAGAAAGAAATGTAGCGCAGGTGCTCTAAATTACCAAAAGAGTCTGGCAACGAAAACTTGTGGCTGGCGTCCATATCTGATCGCATGTCCAGTACTCGTAACTTACTTAACTTGGTAAAAACCTTCTCAATAATCTCCTTACTTATGATAGTGTTATTATTCTGAACGGCATGAATGATCAGCGTGCGTAGATTTTCTAGTTTGACAATCTTGTCAATAATAGCCCATCCATTAGCTGTTTCAACATATAAATGGCGAACATCCTGAGGAACTTCTCCAGTCCAACCATTCTCAATTCTGAAGCAATCACTTCCAGCAACCTTCTCTGCTAAATCATGCAACAGATCATGAACGATATAGCAGTCCTCTTCATAGGGTTCCTCCTTTACTCTAAGTTGCAGAAATGAGGCTGACACTAGTTCATCAAAGTATTTTTGGCAGACATCTTCCGTATCATCCCCATTAGTAACTGTAACAAACCCTTCGGCAGCCCACATTTTAACCAACACATCACGTGCCAAGCGATGTCTTCGAGGAAAAACACTGCAGTAAGCAAAGCATCGCTTCAGATGCTCATCGAGATATTGGTAGCTCAACACTAGAGCTCCCATGGTATCCTTCAAGAGATCGCTATCTCGAATCCTCCTCCAGCACTCAACATTTTGTCTTCTGCGTAGCTGTCCACCCACTGTTCTAGCTGCTAGAGGTGATCTCCTCAACTTGTGTACTATTTCACTCCCAATTATGTGAAGTTCTTTCTGATCTATGTCATCTAACCTTGAATCACCAAGTGCATAGTACATTAAAACTTCAAAGAAGTCTTTTTCATCCAAGTCTTGTATTGGGATGGTAGTATATCTATTAAGACCTAGAGCTGGCACTGCATCTGCATTTCGACTTGTCACTAGGACCTTACTTCCTCTGCTTCCGACATTGAACGGAGAAAGCAACAGTGGCAACTGCTGGTCAGCCACATCATTATCGGACCAGATGTCATCAAGAACCAACAGAAACCGTTTTCCGTGTAGCTTTTTTTCCAATTCTTTTTTTATACCATCAACACTATTAGAATAGAGGTGTTGATTACCTGAAGCTATCACAAACATCTCTCTGTAAATTGTTTCCACACTGAAATTCTGAGAAACATGGATCCACATAACAAGATTGAAATAGCCTGCAGTGCGCTCAGACACACAAACATACTGTGCGAGGGTTGTCTTTCCAGACCCTGGAATACCACAAATGCCTATCACAGAAAAACATTTGCCCTCACTTGAGATTGCTTTGGCCTCCTTGCCATGTGTATCGTGAAGCATTTTTATTATCCGCAAACGATCTGCATCTCTGCCAGTAACCTTTTCCACTGGATCTGCAATAGTGGGCTTCTGTGCATATGTTGCCATAACATTTCGTCCATAAATTCTGCTTTCTTTCTGGCATGGCAGGTTTGCTTGTTTAATAGTTTCCTGTGCTTTATCAATGAGTTCTTTTATCTTCTTCATATTTTTCTTTAAAGTACTGTTTAAAGGCTGGGAAATAATCAAACTTGAATTGATATGGACACCCTGAAAAATAACAGTGGCTGAAATTAGAAACAGGAACTATCTAGTCCAGGTGAAAATGGTTTAAACGTTAAGTATCCAGATTCAAATTTCCATTTGTCTTATTTCATTACAAAATTTTGTAACTAGATCTTCAAGTTGTGCCAATATTCCCATTTTTTAAATGCACAAATTCTAGAAATAATGAAATAATTTGGTTGTACAACATGTCTACTTATAATAAATGCAAATAAAATTATGTACTTTTGCAGTCACTAAAAATTATATATGTACTTGTTGTGTGAACGAAAATAAATTTTCTCTTCTCTTCTGCTCAACATCAAAATATACAGTTTATGTGTATGTGTGACTGTGTTAAGGGATAGCTGCATGCTGCGTATGTGTAGCCGTTTAGTGGCATTTTTCAACAAAGGGTGGATTTTATTGGGCTCTTTAGTGGCATAAAGGCAGGTCAGTAGGTAATCGGGGAAGGAGAGAATGCTTTGTGCTAGCTTGCATGTATATCTCAGGAGCAAGTCATCAAGTAGTTCTTTGCCTGGCATGAGTTGCTGTCTAGTCATTGTATTGAGATTTGAGCCTCATGCGGTATATTTTTTCCTCTTTGATATCCATATTTTGTTATTGTAAACCTTGTGGTTTATGACTATTTATATCCCAAGTGAAGAAACCGGAGATGAATTGTTCACTTATATTAGCTTGATGGTTAGATAAGCAAGTTAAACCTTTCCTATGTAAATAAGTCATTTGCAGTTACATTCACTGTAGAGTAAATTCCATTTTGAATTTTTGATCCATGTTTATTCAGTTTATGTGGAATATTTCTAAAGCAGAGTAGGCTTACTCCCCAATATTCAGTTCAAATGTAGAATATTTTCTCTACTTATATAATGTCATGGTCAAAGTGGAATATTAATTTCAAAATGTGGATCAAACTGTCATAACTAGAAAATGGGGGCATGAGGCCCATTTAGTAATAATAAAAGAGAAATAGGGGCTCCAAGTTGTACAGTATAACAGATGGGTGGTGAAGACTGAAGAGTGGAATTTACTACCCCACTATATATGACACTGCTAGCTAACATTACAAATTGATGTGCTAAAGTGGGTATTTAACATGATTACTCCTTGATTAGTGGGTCTAACCTGAAATCCTGCAATCAAACTCTTGTGCGAGATAATTAGACACGTAGAATTGGTTGCTGCTTTTTGGTTCTAAAGATTTGAATCCATACCCTACTATATCAAGGAAGGTCCTTTACGTGATATGTTGATTGATTTTCTGTCAGTTTAGACCACCTGTTGGAGCGTATTGCTAGAAATAAGGACCACCTTTGAATGCTATATGTGGTTGTGGCGGCAGGATCTACGTGGTTGTCGCGGCAGGTGCCTCGTATCAGCTACCCTCCATGATATTTTGTCAATAGCATTATAATGTGGTCTTTTCTGGCAATACGTTCGGACAGGTGGTCTAAAATGACAAAAGTATTGCAAGGGATGACTTTTTTTTTTGCGGGGCATTGCCAGGGATGACTAAGTATGCGTATAATTTTTTTGGATAAGTAACTAATTATTCCAATGCAGTTGTCAAATTGAGGATAGCAACTACCTGGTCTGAGGGGCCAGCATCATCATGCGAAGCAAATATGATCCACTTGCTCTTTTTCTGGCCAGCTAGCCGTTTCTCGTGAAGAAGGTACTCCACCTTATCCAACATGTCTTCCATGTCGTAGAAGGCAGACTTGAGATCCCCAACCAAATTCTTGAAAAGATCCATGTAGGGGCTACCCTCTGCTGCTTCTAGAGTAAGAGCCAGACTAGGGAGAGTGTGAGTCAAGAGCTCGTGAAGCTTGTCCTTGGATTTGCCGGGCTTGATATGGGACAACGCTTTGTCAACAAGCTTGGTCATGATGGGGGAGATAACCCACCCGGCCATGGATATTCCCCATGCAACTCCCGAAAGTGTGAGAGGATCCACCATCCAGCCGGGCTTCTCAGCAGCAGGTTCTTGAGAGATCCAACAATAGGCATGAAATGGGTAGCTGTGTAGAGCAGCTTCTCCTTATCCCCAATATGTGACCTGGTGTTCAGAGTTAGGCAGAAATACAAAGAATCGTCAACAGAACTACACACACACACACACACACACACACACACACACACACACACACACACACGTATCTCTATTTAGCTAAAATCATGATATAAATGGACATACGAACTTACAGGTATATTGGTATCAAGGACTTCGATATGTAGAGAGGAACTCAGGAAGACACCAGACAATTAAGCCACCCAGCAGGTTCTTGACAGATCTTCCGGGAAGGGCTGTGAATGATTCCTGAGAACCAGCTGGTTATGTCCTTCAGAGTCAGGAGGAACTGTATGCAACAAGTGTATGTAGTTGAAGAAAACAATAGCTCCTCCATGTGCTGTGCAGCCGGTCAAAGCAAGAGAAACAACTTGACATCATAACATGTATAGTAATAGTAACATAAAAAGTCAAAGCTCCATAATGAGCGAAATTATTGGAAGCCAACCCATCTGTCGGTTCCACGGAGAACAAGTCAAGCTTACAATACATTGCACCCATTCATCTACTGACATATAAAATGCATAAACACAGCTGGCTGAGATGTTTGAACTGACACAATTATTTGATGTAAAGGAAGGCGAACTGGTAATCAATCAACATTCATATACAGGAACTCTAGCACACATCCACGCGCTAGCTACAGATGGCTTTGGTCACAGCAGGAAATTGCCATTCAATTTCCTGGCAATACAACTCAGTCTTGATATTTTTATATTTGAGGGAAGGTCCACTCATGATAATGATGTAACAAAAAAGACAAATTTTAAAGGAAAAAAATCAAAAGCAAAACCAAAATGACTATCAAACTAGTTTTCAATAGGGGTTGAATGCTCAGTCACGACAATGATGTAACAAAGAAGGACAAATTCTACCACCAAAAAACAGAAAGACTATATTGTCACTGATGTACTTGTAGTTTTCTTCGAAGACTTGGTCAATAAGAACTGGTCTTGCATTCTCTTTTGGAGGTAATCTATAGAGCAACTGGTTGGATCCATATGTGGTTGTTACTCAGCAGTGCGGAAGTCAAGAAGCATATGACTTATTGCTGCAACCGTTGGGAGATGGTACCACGGGATACCTACAACTGGTTTGGACGCGGTCCAACAATATGATAGGTCTATAGTCATCTAGTTCTATTTTTGCCTGTTGTGGCTTTGAGTTGTTCTTTTGTTTAACTCATGATGAGTTTTTGTATCATACTACATACTTGCTGGATTATTTCGTTAATAAGATGGTTGCATGCATCATTTCATTTCGCTGCAGAGCCGGGGGCAATACTTTTTTTCAAATAAAAAATTGCACAGTATTCTAGCAGAAGACATGGTTAATTATGTTGTGAAATTTTCTGAAGGCGCTTTTGTTTTAGAATGTTTTATTTTTGGTGATTAAATGGCTTTTTCGGAGGAATATTGTATAAATCAAGTGCTTATCAATGTAAGAGCGCCGAATACAATACTTTGCTGAAGTTGCTCTGTTTCTTTGGTCCCATCGACACAAAAATTGCTGTGTTTCTGGTTGAAGTTAGATCTTTCGGTCTCCTAAACACAACTATGGTTCTTTGGAACTAAATCTACAGGCAACCGATGAGTACAGCATCAGGTGCCGGCGGGCAGGGGACGACGCCAAGTTCGGCTTCTACTGTGGGATGTACGTGTGGGTGCTGGATTCCCGACACGTCCAGGAGGCGAGTACTAGCGGCAACGTTCCAGGTGAGAGCCTTTTGTCCCATCGGTCTTGTGGCAACAGTATGCTGAAATTATCTGACAAGAAACTTGTTGCTGGTTTCATACTAGTGTCCCTGATTCAATTCAGATAAAGTGACCTCTGGAGCTGCTCGGCTGCCTGTTCATTTTCTCACCAAACAAGCCATCTGCCGTGAACTACAAATATACAGGTGATAGAGCACAGGAATAAGCTTGCATGATACAACTACCTAGAAACAAAAAGGATGAGATGCCATCTTGTGTCTTTGTTTTCCTCCAGTATCACAGAGTTCAGAAATACATTGAGCGGGGAAGGCAAGAAATGTAAGCCTAGAATGACACATTCGCAAGGATTATCACTCTCAATCTACAGTAGTTTTGTTTTGAAACGTCTTCAAAGCATACATATGTAGGGCACATGGATGTCATTCTGAAAGTGTGAACTTGCATGTGAGGTCGTATTCATTCATTTCGCAAAACGTGTACCAACAAGAGTTCATGTGGAAATACCTTGATGCAATGTGTGTTCGTTCGGTGGTCATCTCAGAATTGTGAATAAGACTGCTCTCAAAAGGTATATGTTCTTCGTGCTAGTGTGGTGTAGCGAGAAATGCATGTAGAAAATAAAAAATGTGTGGTCCCTAATCGGATTTCAGTTCCACCCTTTACTTTTGGTACGTCAGTACTGTTGTGAGTGCTGATGATTCTATTTAAGGGTTTGAACAGAAAATTATGTAGCAATTTTCTTACAGAAATTAAGGACAACTCCATATTTTTTCTCCTTTGGAGAGAGAGCACTATACTATTAACCCGTTCAAAAGATGCTTCACTCGAGAATATTTCAATATTATTAACCCATTCAAGAGGTGTTGGGCTGGACACTTCAAAATTGGCAACACTTTCGACCTTCTCAAGAGGTGTTGGGCTACAAACCTTAAACTTTTCATGAGATTCTTCATGTGAAAAACATCATTTTTCAACCTCTTCAACAGTTGTGCCATGTGCTTTTTTTGCATGAGTGCATTGGAACATGTTTGGTTTAACAATATTGCTTGCAATTTTATTCACCCTTGTTTTTACCGTGCCAACTACAGTTGAAGCGTGCAGATCAATTTTCTACTTCAGAGTAGATATAAGTTTACTCATTTCTTCTTTGCAATGTGTTCTTATCAACTTTTGAGTTTCTTGTGAATTGTGCGGCAACACCTCATTCGCCATTAATTGGTCTACATTTTATACTCAATTGTGTCATGACATTCTACAACGTTATGCAGGACATGGAAAATACATCCTGATATGCACTTAATATGTGTAGATGAACTTTGTGAATTATTTAAGCTTGCAGGTTTATCTGAAGATGGAGTTAAGAAGAAAGTCTTTCCTTTATCTTTGGGGGGGAAGGCCATTCACATGGTTTAAGCTATGTGATGATATTGGAACGTGGGATTGAAACCTATTGAAATTGGAATTTCATCAAAAGTTTTATCCTATGCATCTGGTTCATCGTGATCGAAATGAAATATATAATTTTTGGCCTCATGATGGAGAAAGTATCGCTCAAGCTTGGGGAAGGGTTAAGTACAAGATGTACAAACACCCCAATCATGAGATCTCAAGAGAAATTATCTTACAAAACTTTTATGCTCGGCTTTCTCATAACGGTCAAACCTGCTCGATTCTTCTTCTACTGGTTCCTTTATGAAGAAAACTATTGAATTTAGATGGGATCTTCTGGAAAGAATTAAACGTGACTCTGAAGTTTGGGAACTCGTGGTAACGAGTCAGGTATAGTACTTAAGTTTGATTGTGTTAATTCTTTTATGGATACAGATTCTTTTCATAAGTTTAGCACTAAATATGGTCTTGACTCTGCGATATTGGATTCCTTTTATGAATCATTTGCTACTCATGTTGACCTCCCTAAGGAGAAGGGGTTTAAATATCATCCCCCTATTAACGAAAAGATTGAAGAACCCGTTATAGTTAACGAAGAAACTATGATTTACAATGTTGATCCAGTTGTGTCTAATGCTTATATTGGGAATCCACATTTTCCTATTAGGATTAAGGAACATGCGAAGGTTTCAGCCGTGATTAAGAAAAGTAATATTAGAACATCTAGACCCTCTGAACAAATTTAATTTAACCTAAAGTTGCTATAGTTAAAGATCTTTTGATCAATAATCAATCTTATTTATTTCTGTAGTAAAGCTACTAGAATTGCTAAATCTGTTGTTGGCATGCCTGTTGTTGGCATGCCTGTTGTCTCTGCTAAAATAGGAGATCATCGTTACCATGGTATATGTGATTTGGGTGCTAGTGTGAGTGCTATTCCGTTTGCCTTATATCAAGAAATTATGAATGATATTGCACATGTTGAGATAGAGGACAATGATGTTACTATTAAACTTGCGAACAAAGATACTATTTCAGCGCTTGGGATTGTTAGAGATGTTGAAGTCTTGTCTGGGAAGATAAAATATGCTACTGATTTTCTAGTTCTTGGTTCTCCACAAGATGATTTTTGTCCCGACCTTTCTTGAATACAGTTAATGCTAAAATTGATTGCAATAACGAAATTGTTAGTGTTAATTTTAGTGATGTATCTCATGAGTTTAATTTCTCTAAATTCCGTAGACAACCTATAAATAACTGCCAAGTAAAGATGAAATTATTGGCCTTGCTTTCTATTGCCGTACCTCCTACTGATCCATTAGAACAATATTAGCTAGACTATGAAAATGATATGTATGTGAATGAAAGAAATGAAATAGATAAGACGTTCTTTGGTCAACCACCTACTCTTAGATACAATTTGCCTGTTGAAACTCTTGGAGGTCCTCCCCCACCTAAAGGTGATCGTGTGTTCGAATTAAAACAATTGGCTCATACATTTAAATATGCTTATCTTGATGAAAAGAAGGCATATCCTGTTATTATTAGTGCCAACCTTTCAGAGCACGAAGAAAAGAGATTACTCAAAACTCTGATGAAGCATCCTGCCGTTATTGGATATACTCTTGATGATCTTAAGGGTATCAGTCCCACTCTATGTCAGAACAAGATTAATATAGAACCTAATGCTAAACCAGTGGTTGATCATCAACGATGGTTGAATCCTAAGATGAAGGATGTGGTAAGAACTAATATATTAAAGCTTCTAGAAGCAGGTATAATTTA